GTGCATTTTTCTTTAGGTATGTTACACTTTATTTTAAACACTTATTTAAAAATATTTGTTGAGCCTATGTACATTTTTTAATAATTATTCACTTAAGCTGTTCTAGTAACAGAACATTAAAAGGCAACGGGAAGTTGGTCACATGCAACAATAAAGCAAACCACCTTCTCTAAATTCACAGTTGTTGGCCACCTTGATCTCCAGGGGGCTCTTATGTTGTTACAAGAGGGACTATAGCACAAATCTAAAAAAATTACCATAATTACATGTTGTATCAAGAGAAAAACAGCCACCAGGAAGGAAATGAAATTGTTCTCAGCAGCGCAGAACCACGCCTTGGATTGCTTCCTTTTGGAATGTGGCAGGTGGGGTCGGGTAAACAAAATAAACATCCTGGTGGATCATATTTTAAGCAGATTTAACTTGAAATATGATAAATGCAAGCTACTTAAGAGATGAATGGAATGCTTATTTGATATTGTCCCAGATCTAAAATCTCTGCACTGGCAGTCTCTATGACAAAAAGGATCAAGAAGTTATTCTTTAGTTCCTTTCCTTTCTACTCCAACAGCTGGATTTGTAAACTCCTGAAGGGCAATATCCCCAATTTTGGAAATCATTTGTTAATGGTAAAAAGGAAACACAGGGAATAAGTGATGGCAGCTGTAAAATCCTTGCTTATTAGGTGAGCACTATTTTGTTAGTATTCTCTTTTAAGCTCCCTAATCTCTCCTTCATGATCTTTCTCTCAGAACCTCATAGCACCAGCATTTTGTCTCTATTGCACACAGGGTTCAGCTTTGTAGTTGCCTTATCCCTGCCAGGCTGGAGACTTTCAGGTGGCAGAGATTGTAGCTCTCCGGGTAGAAGATGGATTTCTTACACCATGTTTGCTATTGTATGAGCAGAGCTGGTTGTTTGCTCCTTCCTTGGACTGTGAGTTGCTCGAAAGCAGGGTCTATGAGTTCCTCATGTTTGTATTTTCACTGTTTGGTATTTAGTAGGGGCTCAATAAATGTTGGCTGAATAAAGAAGAGAAGGAATGGTGGATCAGGTCTCCCAGTTTCAAGATTCTTCAGATGACCTGCCTCCTGAGTGTTGCAGAAAACTGTAATTACCTCTTTCCTTATTTTTGTTTTTAAGTATTTTCTGAGTTTTTTTTTGTAGTAAGAAAAACATTTTTAATTAAAAACAAGAGGGGAATCATGATTAGACATTTAAGCCTAAGAATTATGAGAAATATTCAGAGAATTTGACGGTCACCCCAACAGGCACATCATTCTTCCTCCCTCTAGACTTACCCCTCATCAGCCTGTTCCCATGTGGCTAGTGTCACCAAAGATGCAAATTTGATTGTGGCACTTCCCTACTTTGAGTCGTTTCCCTCCAAAGGTATATCAGTGTTGCTGCTCATACTTATTATCCTGTGTAAGTCAATCACATTTCAGTTTCAAGTGACAGAAACCTCACTCAAAATAGCTTAAGCTAAAATGAGAAATTTGTTTGTTCATGTAACTGAAGGATGCAGTGTTGGCTTTAGGCAGGGCTAGGAGTTCAAAGATAGCATTAATGCCTAGTCTTTCCCAGTTCTGCCTTTTTCATGTTGGTTTTCTTTCTAGACAGGCTCTGCTCATGTGGAGGCAACAGAGCTATTGGCATCTTCGGGCCCACATGGTCCTTAGAACTTAAGGTCCTGAGGAAGTGAGAGGACTTGGATCTGCCTAGGTCGGACCATGTGCTCTTCCCTGGGGCCAGTCACCCTGGAAAGGAATAAAGATTACTAAGAAAGAGAAAAGCTGTTTCTCAAAAGAAGAAATTCTAGGCAAATCATGACCTGTGCCTGTATCTCTCTCCGGACTCACCCCTCCCCCTCCCCTCCCACTGTTGTTTTTTTTTGTGGTCTGCAAAAACCTTTACTGTTGGTTCCTTCTAGAGCAGGACATGTGCCCAAGTGGCCAGTGGTCAGGGATTGCTCTCAGCTCCACAGCTTCATGGAATGAACTCTGGGAAAGACAGACTGCTGGAGGTCAACATGATGAGCTGGCTGGCTCCAGCAGGGTCACTTCTCTGGGGGCCATAGTTGAGAAGATTCTTGATCAGACCCCTGTGGGCCAGTGCCATGCAGTAGCTGTAGTAGTACTTCAGGCCCAGTATGTGCAGGGCGTCACCCCTAGTGTACTCGGTGTGCAGCAGCCCCAGGGAGGCCTCCCACTTGTCGCTGAAGAACGTGCCAAAGATGAAGCAGCACACAGGTATGATCATGACAGCAGGGTGGCAGCTGGCTGGTAACAATGCCTGTCTGACCACTGGCCACACTTCACAATTCTCCAGACTCATCTCTTTTCTAGCCGCACCTAAACTATTTTCAGTTCCAGGAACATGCCAGACTCACTCTGTTGCCTCTTATTTTGCATATCTTGCTGCATTGGCCCAAAATAGCCTTCCCGTATTCTTTACCTAGGCCAAAGTATTATTTAAGGTCTAGTTTGTGATACTTCAATGGGATCTTTCCTGATCTTCCTTACTGGGCTGGGTATTCATTTATGTGATTCAGTAAGCATGGCATAGATACTCTTGACATCACATTACACTGTGTTGCAGCTGTTTGCATAAGTACTTGTCTCACTAAACTAGCTCCTTGAGTCCAGTGATTGCCCAATGCCTGGCACAGTCATTGCACCACAAATGTTTGTTGAATGACTGAAAGATAACCTCAGTATAGGTAAGATCTTGCCCTGTTTCCTCCATTTATAACGTTCCCACAAAAAATCTTGAATTTTTCTTTAGGAGTAAGATATTTTAAATAAAACCTCACACAACACATGTTAACTTGCTAAGTATGTGTTTATGAAATGAGATGTGAATATTAAATCCTAAATTATACTAACTTAAGTATCATTGGCCTTTGAATGTTATAGTCCTATTTGAAATATTGGTGGATCTGTCTAGCTAGGTCAGTGATTCTTAACCTGGAGTCTACAAATTTCTAAGAGACTTAAGAATAGAATTCAGAGGATATGTGAACTTGGGTGGGAAAAAAAATTATTTTTCACTAGACTATAACTGAAATTTAGTATTTTCTTTGATTATAAATGCAGGCAACAATCCAGAGTTTATTAGGCAGTAACTGTGACTTTGTCAATAATAGAAATCAGGTATTTTCATCACATTACAGTTGTTGCAGAGATCACAATATATTGTTTATACTGTCATATATTTCATAGCAGTTATTAAACTCCGTTATATCAGGTTATTAAATGAACACATACATTACTGTATCACATTTACATAATTTTGATAACTTACAATTCAATGTAACTGGTTTTTTGTTATCCTGTGCATTTTATTTTCTGCACTTAAAAACATTATTCTGAGAATAATGTCCACGGCACATAAAAGTTGAAGTGCTCTAGGCATTCATTTAAAATGAAATGAAACCAGAGTGTGGTGGTCCAAATCCAGAGAAACAGCCCATCTGCCCTCTTTCTAATGCCATGCTAATAGAGATTACAGGCCTTTTAGGCAAGGTTAAAACTACAAACCTAAGAAATGATGTCCTCTTTGAATGAAAATTTTATCTGGATGGAAAAGCCATACAATTTAAGTTTTAAAGGGTCTCTGGGCTGGGTTAGAAAAGTGGATCTCCTAGAAACTCACAGCTAAATGCTGCAGATATTGGTTTAAGAGCTTACCAAAGAAGACAAATTCATTTATTTGTGTAGTTATCTGCATTGATATGCACTAGACCTGGATTTTGATCATCGAAACTCTTAGGACATCCTCTGTTAAGGTTGTAAGATCCTTTCTAACAATGTTTGGTGACAAGGCCTGTCAAAGAGGTAGAATCCTCTTTGAGGATTAGAGTTCCTGTTTTCTTTGGTTTATTGGTCTTTGTTCCGACAGGAAACAGTTTTTAATTTAAGATACTGTACAAAGGTGTGGGGTAGGGGAGCCACAAAGAGGAACCACAGTAGCTTCAGCAACTCTAGGCTAATAGCAGTTGAGACGGCATCATCCCCTGGTCAGAAGAGACGAGAACAGGGAGTGGTGACTCGAAGGAAAGTAGTGAAGGGAAATTTGAAAGTGGTGACCTCTGACTATTGGGGCAGCCCCACTGTGGGAGAGGCGAGAGAATAGACACCCTGACCATCTTCAGATCTCTGGCCAGGAGAATTAAAAGCCACATAGAATTAAGGAGGCAAAGGAGCCTGCTGCTATAGTCCATTCATCAGCCTCATGGGGCAGAGAGCAGAGTGGAGCTGGAGAGCAAGATATCAACTCATTTGGCAAATCTCTATAGCACTCATCACACTATTTGATGGTCTATAGGAGCAGAACTGTATTTTTTTATTTGTGGTTGTGCCTAGTAAAATTCTGGTACATAGTTAAGTGCTCAGTATTAATGAATAAAGAACTGAAATATTGCAGAAACAAAGAATAAAAGCAATCTATTTACTACAAATAGGAATTATTTGCTTTCAGACACAGTTGATATTTAAAATGTCACGGAAATACTGGATGGAGCATGACTCACCAATAAATTTTATTCTGTGGATCAGGCAGATATGTGTCACAGCTTTATAAACAGTTAAGTATAGTTGATCCTCATTATTTGTGGATTCTGTATTTGCAAACTTGCCTACTCTTTAAATGTTTTGCAGTGCTTTCACAGTTATGCGAAGAATGGTGAAAGATTTGACTTGCCCAACGTATGTGTTCCCAGTTGAGGTCGACAAAGTAGCATGCTTTCTTGTTGCAACTCTCATATTAACAAATGTCCTTTGCTCTTAGTGCCTCACTTTTTGCATTTTTGTGTTTTTCTGTTTAAAATGGCCATCAAATGTAGTGCTGAAGTATTGTCTAGCGTTCTTAAGTGAAAGAAGGCTGTGATAAGCCTTATGGAGAAAATACGTGTGTTAGATAAACTTTATTTAGGCATGAAGTTATAGCACTGCTGACTAAGAGTTCAATGTTAGTAAATCAACAAAACAGAAAGGCACTTCAAACAAGTTTATATATTGTTGGTTGATGACAATGTGACCAGAGGCTCACAGAACAATAGTTTGGGGAGGTATTCATTAATTTCATTTTGGTGGAGACTTTACAGAACCTACTATGAATGATAATCAACTGTACTTGCTGTTTTCCAGTTCCTAATAAAGATTCAAAAAAAAACTAATTCAATTGACAAAAGACACAATTTTTCTACAGGCGGCAGCTAATTGGTACTCATAATGTAAGACCAGAAAGGAGGAAAACATTAAAACCCATCACCACTGCATAATTTCAATAAGATATATTAACATTTATTACTTTCTGAATAGTATTTGACTAAATCCAAATTATTTCAATTAAAATTGTCTAGAAGGCCATATAGTGTGAAAATTAAAGAAACCAATGGAGGGGAAAAAAATCATCTGTTTAATACATTGACTTTAAGAACAACCACAAATGCATTATTCTTATTATATGGACTCGGTTAATTCAATCTTTTTTAGTTAGGCCTGTTTATATTCACTCCTCAATAAACCCTCAAAAGCTTCAAGCTTCTACTTTCAGTAGCATGGCAAACCTGAAGTGTTTTTTTTTTTTAAATCACCATTCCACTAATGTAAACAATTCTCCATGCTCTAGCATAAGAATATTTAATGTTAGCCAACAATGACAGCCATCTATTCTGAGGGATGTAATAGTGGCAGCTTTCTGATTTTTATATTTGTTTAAAGTATATGACCTTGAATAGTAAAAGACACTGAGCTGAAATTCTCTAACTCACTTTCTAATCATAGTAAGAGTGACATTTTCCCCCAGGGACCACCAGATAGTCATAAAAATTTATGCTAACATTTTGTAAGAATCCACAAACATCAATAAGAAGCTGACTTTCCTGGCATGCTCTGAATGTCTTTAAGATGAGACATAGAACAGATATTATAAAGAGCTTTAGGAAAAATATTGAGTGCCTGGGTATTATCATAGTAGTAAAGGTTAAGTCATTGTTATTTCTAAGAAACATTTTCGGTACCATTACCATATCCAAAAATATGTATTAATGCTACTGGTGATTAAGAAGTTCAGAAGCTATAATTACACATCCCTTATTGTGAAAATAATGCAGGAGAGCTCTGAAATATGAGGGGAAAATACCCAGGCACTTAAATCAATGAACATTTGCAGGCTTGACAGAGTTGCAGTAACATCAAATAGCCACATTTCTGTCCACTTACAAGGAATACTATTAAGAAGCAATCAAGCTATTTATTTAATAAAGTGTATTTTTTCACAAATAGAAATATTTAACATCTTTAGTCAAACACTTAAATGGGAAACAGCCTAAAGAAAAATAAAGACCTACACACACCAACTATTTCAACTACAAAGCAAAATACTCTCACTGTGACTAAAGGAAAATAATTTAACATTCATTATCAGTTTATAAGCATATAACTCAAAGGAATGATTATGCTCATAAGTAAATGCAAGATTTTTCCAAAAGATTTGTAACTAAGGTATGCAAGACATGAAATCAAACTGCAAAACTAGTTCAAAGCAAATACAGTCCAATGGTTCTCTTATGTTTTATGTTCTTTATTTTAACTGGATATTTTAGAACAGTAAATTATCTTTCATAGCAGTGTCTCCTGGTCTGATAATACAGTACCCCACTTCTGAATGTAGAGATGTAAGATAAATCAAAATGACTGTTAAGGCGTACAAACACTACTTTTAAGTCTGCTCTTATTTAATAAGGATCATTTTAACTCATATTCAAATACATGGAATGTTGGCACAAAACTGAAGCTGCTGTAGAAAGATCACAGATGTTCTGTGGGTTATTGAAACTTCCATTTCTCTAAAAACATACCCTTAAATGGTCTTAATTTTACAAATTTAAGTGTTAAGAAAATGTCTAAATAATAAGTAACAATTAAAATAAAATGTTTATTTGTAAATTATATACAGAATACATTTTCTTCATGAAAGGAAATGGGAAGAGCCATCACCTTCCAACCAACGCTGCCTGCTTTCTCTGTAGGAGATGACCATCTTTCCCTGAATCAGATGTACAAACCAGTTGGGATTTCCTAAATTGGAAAAAGGGAATTTGTAGCTAAACTAAAAGTGTTGTTACATTATTACTAGTTGGCTTGTTTCCACAAAATGCTTTTGAATCCTGCTAACTCAGAATCTCAGAAATTTCCTGGTATAATTTTATAATCAACAAAAGCTTAACTATCAGTAACAACGAGTTTAATTAAGCATTTCATCTCAAAGAAACTGTGAAATGGCTATATAACTATACATAATCTGAAATGTTGGTTTATCTCTTTTAGTTATTTGATTAGTCTAACAGTTAAAAGCCATACAACTATCAAAAATGCCATTAAAATGTCATTGTGGAAAGTGCATCTTTGATAACTATCAAAATTAATGACACCTACTTGCCGTAAAATTATCAAATAGATAAAATTTATAAATGGCTTTTGACTGTATCAATAATAGTATTCTATGAAATGAAGGACTGGATATAACTGCTTGGATGTCAAATACATTTCAGTAAAGGGAAAATGCTACAAATGTCATGTGTACATTATGATAATCAGCCAACATAGAAAATCCAACCTCTTGTATGTATTAAGTCCCCAAGTTCACCAGGTTATGATTTTTCATGTGAAGATTTAGTTGTTTCTCCATCATTGTCTTCTTCCTCCTCTTCACAATCCCCATCTGTTTGTTGTTCCAGTTCCTCTTTTGTGATCATTTCAAAATCATTCCCATTTCCACTACTGTGTTGGGATCGGTCATCTTCCCTCCTATCACTGTCTGTGTCAGAATGCCGTTCTCCACCTGAGCCTTCTGTTCCATGATTTCCTGGTCCTACTCTTCCCTCTTCATCTTCTTTTTTCTCACTGTCTGACTTTTCCTCACTGTCGGACTTCTGCTGCTTTTTGGTTTCAGATTTCTCATCTTTCTTTAAGTCTGCTTTTGGTCCTTTATATTCATGTGTGTACAGAGGCCTGAAGGAGTCAATGAAGCCCACATCAGCAGTCAGATTTGGCAAGAACCAAAAGTGATGCCTTCCTCCAGTTATGAGCCAAATGATGAGAAATAGAATGCAACGAGCTGTAGGAAAAAAATTTCTCTAATTGAATAATTCAAGCATTGACTCTGATAGTAGGGAGTATTTGTTAATAAAAAACTGGAAAAACATTCACCATGTTATTATTTGTACATTACATGCACTTTAAATTAAATAATTAAACCCGGATTAGTTTAGCAGCTATCACAGTATCCCATACCCACAGCATCCTACTCTGAACTTGAGGGCATGATGCTACAATGCCACTCAAAAAAATTACTTTTACGTTTTTTCAGCTGGGTGCTGTTTCATGGTGGTACACTTATGATTTATGTACTTTGCTACGTTATAGTTCAATAAGTATAGCCATCAGTTGGAAATGTAAATATGCACAAGACCATTGTATAAGAAAATGGAAGTAAATTTAAATAAGGGATAAAGGTACTAAAGAAGGCTTTAAAAAGGAAAAGACTGGGCTGCATGATGACTTTCCTAGACCCTAAGCACTTTAGCCTTTGCAAAGCAGTTCTATAAAAACACTAAAAATTATACTTTAATGACCATTTTGGTATAAATATAAATATAATCCTTCATAGTTTCATTACTACATACATGTATACATATTACTTCTGATTTTAAAAGAAATAAAAATGGGAGGAAAAAATAGCATAGATGATAGAGGTTCTGTTCATCCCTCTGGCAACCAAATCAAAGTTGTAATGGAAGCAAGGAGCAGCAGCAAGGAAAAATCGCCTGGGATCTAGAGGAACAAGCCATACAACTAGGGAGAAATCCAAGAAAGCACCCTGCAATGGCAGAAAGTAGGACGGGGTGAGGACACGGGGCTGCCCGGTCCCCAGCAGCTGAGATGGAGGCTGCAGCAGCAGCAGCAGCAGAAGCCTCTTAAAGGGGCCGCGTCCACAAGCGGACTTTCACAGTGACAGACCTGCTCGCTCTGAGCACCAGTGCCGATTCCGCTGCACACAGGGGGCACCAAGGACTTACAGGGAGACACTGTCGGAGTGAGGGCCGAGGCGAGACTTGCTCTGTACAGAAGTGCTGGCGGTATCCATTATTCCCTGTTGAGCCCTCCCTGCTCCCAGTGCATGGACACAAGAGCCACCATAGCGATGACGTCATCAAACTGGATAGCAGAGGTCGCTCTGCCCAGAGGATTCTCTGAAACTCCTCCTCTCCCAACTCGTGGCTCCACCCACGCCACATCCTGGGATAGCCTCAGTGAGTCAGGTGCTCCTTGCTGAGCAGCCCCCAGACTCACAATGGAGGCAACTGGCCTCAGTTTCTGGTGTGGCCTTTTGAGGCAACTATAAGCACACTGTCTGTGGATTGCTTGATGAATCTTAACAGGTGGCCCCAGAAGGGTAGAGGCTTGTGCTAAATTTGACCTGCAACTGAACCCCTCTCAGGACTGTGCCACTGGACACATACTTCAAAAATCCACTCTAATAAGACCGGGAGACTTAGGAGCTTTGCTTATTAGTACATAGAAAGAGACATGGAAAGGCAGTCAAAAATGGGAAGACAAAGAAGCAGAAACCATATGACAGGACAGAACAGAACAGAGATCCAGATATACTGGAGTCAAGTAATCTAATAGATGCAGAGTTCAAAACATCTTTATAACCAATAAAGATGCTCAATGAACTTTTGGGAAGTACAGATAAATTCAGTGAGAACTTCAACAAAGAGATAAAAAGCATAAAAATAGAAATGGAAATTATAAAAGGGAACCAGTTTGAAGTGAAGAACACATTATCTGAGATGAGAAGTATATTAAATGTAATAAACAAAGTGAATAAAGAAGAGGATCAAATGTCCTATCTAGAAGACAGGAAAGCCAATCAAAACAATCAGAATGGCAAGAAAAAAGAGGACAAGGACATAAAAATAATTTAAGGAGGATATGAGGCTCCAAATACTTGTCTGATTGGTATAACTGAAGAAAATCAAGATGTTGAACAGCTGTTTGAAGAAATTATGATGGAAAACTTTTCTAACCTGGTAAAAGAAATGGACATAAAACCCCAAGAAGCTCAGAGAATTCCAAAAATCAGGGATCCAAATAGGCCCACACCAAGACACATCATAATTAAAATGTCAAAGGTTAAATACAAAGAAAGAATATTAAAAGCAGCAAGAGAAAAACAAATAATTACTTATTAGGGAACACCCGTAAGACTGGCAGCTGATTTCTCAAAAGAAACTATGTAGGACAGAAGGGCTTAGCAAAAAATATCTAACAGAATGAAGACCCATGATATACAACCAAGAATAAGTTATCCAGTAAAGCTATCATTTAGAGTTGAAGGACAGATAAAGAGCTTCCCAGACAAAAATAAGCTCAAGGAATTTATCACCACCAAGGCAGCATTACAGGAAATGTTAGAGGGACTTCTTTAAGAAGAAAACACATGATCCAAAACAGAAATAAAGAATGATAACGACTACATTCCTATCAACAAGTACCTTCAATGGAAAAGAATTAAGTGCTCCAACCAAAAGATAGAGTGGCTGAAAGGATAAGAAAACAAGACCCCTATATATGAAAAGGAATGGGATGAAAAAAGATACTGTTTTGATGGACCTAGAAAGTATTTAAGTCAGAGAAAGATAAACACTATATGATTTCATTTATATGCAGAATCTAAGGAATAAAAAGAACAAACTAATCAAAAACAGACTCACAGTTATAGTGGACAATTTGGTGTCAGACAGAGGGGAGGGTGGTTTGCAGGGCTGGGAGAATGGGGTGAAGGGTTAAAGAAGTACAAATTAGTAGCTGATGGATGGTCATGGGGTTGGGGAGCAGAGCATAGGGAATGAAGTTAGCATTAGTATGTTTGCTAGGTGGAGGGTCAGGGGAGGGAGGGTACAACTGAGGGGATTGTTTTATGAACTATATAAATGTCTAACCGATGTACTGTATACTTGAAACTAAATTAAAAAAATAATTTAAAAAAATAAATAATAAAGAAAAGAAATGAAAATGATCACATTTATGTGGGTCCAAAGCATGTGCCTACTCTGTCTAAAGGATAATAAGTTTTTTAATAAGAACATTTTTGAACAATATGAGAACATTTTCCTAAAAGTTATAATTTTTTAAAAAATTAAGTAATTATACAATTTCTGCTTATTTAAGGACTAATCCTCTCCTAATATTAGAAAACAATATAATGAAGAGCTAGATCACTTAAATAAGTTTTGAGGTTATCTTTTAGAGCAATGTATGACAAAACTGTAGTTAGTTAATGGAAGAATTAGAGAATTCTAAAGATTATCGTAATGAGTTATCACAAACACGAAATCCAATATTTCATATAAATTTTCTCATAATTTACCAAATATATAAAGCTGAGTGATTTTCCTTTTTTTGAAAGTCATAACGACTATGTAAATGTTATGGACTAGTCAATTATGACAAATTTTTTGTTTTGTTTTGTTTTTTGTTTCTTTACAGACAATTCTACCACTAAAAGAAGTTCACCTATGCTTCTTCCATTATTTTGCTTTGGATAAATAAAAGGAAATGGTTTTAGCTGCCTTGACTTTTATAAGGTAGTAATTTCTATTTTCACAAAAGAACGGATATTCTGAAAGACGCTGTAACAGTATCTTGCGGTACGAACAGAAAAGACAAATGTTTGAAATTATGATTTAAGAGGAACTTCCACTAATAAAAAAAATGAACATCTTTCAAGGAGGCTGCACATTTTTTTCTCTGAATATAATTATGATGCTACGATAGGCTTTATAGGGTTGTAAGACAGGTGGTTCATATTATAAATCTTGCCTCAAATCCAAGGAAAAGCAATATATAAATGGCACAATTAAATCTAAATTCTTGCCATATACAGGGCATAACAGAGTCTACCATTTTTACAGTTTTCTCCACATGGCATTAGATTACCAGAGGCAAAAGGTTAAGAACCATGCGAAAACCACTGTGACACGTACTGTCATACTGTCTCTATACCAAAAGTGACAGATTTAGAAAAATTTTAAACATCCTATTTTAAATGGCAATATTAGCAATGCATATTTAAAGTAGCAACAAATATAATTTTGACCAATATAGAATATACTTCATAGGATAATATAAAAGAAATATCCAATTTATAAGTGGGCTACAGATCAAAACTATTTGAAGGTATATTTGGAATTGCATTTTCTAACAAAAAACGAAATGTTGAGTTTGTTTTCTGGTTTAATTCACATTATTATTTAATGCACAATGCTACTTAAAACCGTAGCATATTTAAAATGAAAAAAATTATAGAAAACACAACTGAAGAAATAGTATTTTAAAGAGCAAAACAATATAACCATAAACTGTTGGGAATACTGGTTTAAACAAAAGATAAGCAAGTGCGTTAATTTTATTCAGTGGAGGTAAATCTTTGCTAAAAAATTTCAAAGAGCTTCTAAAGTTTCAAGGAAGACACCAATTTGATCATATCTAATGTCAGATTAAAGTTTATGGTTTCTCATTCTTGATACACTACCACTAGTTACCTATTTTACGGTCTTAGATATTATTTCTTGGCCTACAAATACGCTGTGTTACATGCAGAAGCATCAGAGGATTTCCCCAAGGTGACTAAGCTAGAGGAGGGAAAAAAATGAAAGGTGGGTGGAAGGGTTTCACAAAGTCAGAGATCAGAGAGAAAAAAAGAGGACCATAAATACAATGAATTGAACAAAAATACTAGATAAGCTCCTGGACCCATGGATCGGTGGCACCAACTCAGGACATACCTTGATATCCAGGATGAAGGAATGTGCAAAGGGAAATTGCTTAGGGCTATAGGAGCAATGCTTTATAACATATATCATAGAATTTCAGAATAAAATGCACCCACTTCAGGTCAAATTATGTCCTCTAACAATAAACATTAGGTCAACAATGTGGGTATTGTTTTTAATTTTTATGTGGAAGTATCCGTTATGTCTTGGTGGAAAAGTTGATTTGTCATTTGGGGAAAATAATCAGAACTTAGTACCATATACCAGCATAAATTCTAGATGGTTCAAAGAATTATAGTAAGTAAAAAAAATCACTAACAGCTTTAGGTAAGCTGAAAAAAATTCCTATTTCTTTCCCAAAGTGAAAAATTAAATTGGACCTGTCCACCCTATGTGGAAAAACTTTAAATACTAGGATTTTAAGTAAAATAACATTTGTTGGTTTTTTCATGGTAACATGCTCATTGTAAAAAAATTACAGACAAGTGTGAAGAACATTGAAATCATTCATAACTAACCAATGCCACTATTTAGGTGCATTTCCTTTTAGTCAAACCTTCCTTGGCATTATTTCCATGAAAAAACAAACAAAAACTACCTAATTAAACAGGCAAAAACTACCTCCTTATCTCAATTTTATTGTTTACTAGTGAGTACTTTTTATGTATTTATTAATCACCTGTTTTTAATTTCCTCTTTTAAACTGGGTTATTTTTATATTGTTTTCTTCTTAGCTATAAAAGACACCAATCAACCAGAAATGTAAAAAAAGATTACTTACGCTTTCTTGTTTGATTTAAAAAAAAAAACAAACATAAAATTCCTTAATGCATCTAGAATTTTCTTTGGTACATGAGTGCAAACTGATTTTTCCCAATGGCAAATCAATTGTTTAGAATCATTTACTGAATAAGTTGAATTTAAATATTTAATACAAACTTAATTTGCCTTAAGTCGAACTATAAAAATGTTTTATTGAAAGTGTTGTCTACTAACTGATCAACCATTGTAAAACTATTAATGTAGCTAAATTTTAAAGCATATCAATGTGTAGACTAAGCCATATTAAATCCTTTTTCTTCAGAATAAACCAAATCTAATCGAGCACATATACTACATCAAGCCTGAGTCAGTTTTGAGATGTAACCCAAAAAGTAGGTCCATATACTTCTGATTTGCCTACATTCATTTTGCTATAAAGTTTTACTGAAGCTCCAGATTACAGTCCAAAATGCTCAATATCTACCTTGCTGAAGTCATTTTTACTAATAACAATACTTACCAACAGCAAGGAGAAGAATGCTGGCTACAAAACAGCCTGCACCCACACTGAGGTAATAAACACCCACTCTCATTTCTGCTGGCCAAAGAGGGAAGAGGGTAGCTGCTATCACTGCAATCACTGGAACAAGAAATGACAAAGTTACAAAGATAACTTTAGTTACAATAACAGTGAATATATTCCTAGGGGAAAAAACAAACATAAGCATACTGAAATACATAAAATTTCCATTTTTTAGGTAAAAAATGGTCAATTATTTGTCATTTTACATAGTTCAACTTAAACATCTTAACTACTCTTCTTAAATTAGGTTGGATTTTTCTAGTATAAATTACATATCAAAAAGTGCTGTCAAAAATGTGAAATTGTTAGCTCTTTAAATATCAACTGCTGCTGTTCTCTAGTAATGTCTATTTTCTGACTGTGAGATATCTGTCTACAGAACAGGGGAGCTTAAAGCAACACCCTAACAACAAAACTAACCAAAAAATGATTCCAATGAATCAAGAGATTCTGATTCTGGGGTGGAGCTCTGACATCCACAGATTTAAAAAGGTCCAGGTGATTCTGATATACATGGTTTTTGGTAGTCAGGGAAACTATATACAAGTATGTTCAGCTTTTTTCTAAGTATGATGGCACCACATGGAACAATCATAAGGAATCAGAAGTCTGGTCATTAGGTTTTTAGCCAAAAGAGAAGGGATTCAAATTCTAGCTATATCATTTATAAGCTAAGTAACCCTGGGTAAGTTACTTAACCCTTTTGAGGTTAGGTTACTTTGTATTTAATATGTGCCTGTTCCTATGTTTTAAAAGTTGGTATAAGGATAAAATGAAACAATGCATATAAAATATTTAGCAAAGTGACAAGTACATAGTAAGTAATCAACAGCTATCAGCTATTTGGGTTGGAAATGTTTGAGTTTCAATTCTTAAAGAGTTATTTTGAATGGTAGTCTAGGACACCTTATTGATCAAGCTTCTTTGTTTATTTGCTATCAATTTTTTCCTATTTGTTAAATCATTCTCTCCCTCCACCCATGGCCCACCCTGAATAACAGCCATGATAAAAAACAAAACAAAATAAAAATAAATAGATAGATAAATAAATAACAAGAAAGTATAAAGTGAAGTCTTCATCCAATTTTTGGTCCACTCCCCAGAAGTTAATCTGTATTATGTTTTTTTCTGTACTCCCAGAGACTGCCTATATATAAATGAAACTACAATAAAATTTTTTTCTACATAAATCTTATACTATTCTTACTCTTTTTGCTTTTTTTTCATTTAATCTATTCTAGGTATCCTTCCATCAGTGCATCCGCTTAATTCTTTAACCCATTTCCTGTCTAGAAAAAAAATAAGTGCAGCTTGTTGCCAGCTTTCTTTTAACATCATGCATAGGAATGCTATGTTTTCTAGGATTTGACGTTTTCAGCAACTGAACTACTAAAAACAGAATGCTATATATAGAATGATGTCATTTGCTTCCAAAGACTATTGACATACTAGAGCAATGCGAAAATATTTCACAGCAAACTTTGGGGGTGAGGTTAGGACTGTAATCTGTGCGTTATCTGCAGCTCCAAGTGCCACCAGTAAGTATTCTCAAGGCAAATGGGAAAACGGTCCAAAGCTGTATGGCATTCTAGTGTGCAGCTGTACTGTAAGTTATTTTGCCATTCTCCTGTTGAGGGACTTGAGATGTTTCCAGTTTTATCCTATTACAGACAACGGTGCAACAAATACCAGTGTAAATGTACAATTGTGCAACTGTGATTATAGCACAGGATAATTATTAGGTCAAAAGGTAAAGGCATTTAAATTTTGAAAGATATATCCTAATAACTCTCTTAAATATAATCTGAAGGATTTGGATTAGCATAGATAACGTGTCAGTGTATACTTCTGAATAGATATCCTATTACAGACAACGGTGCAACAAATACCAGTGTAAATGTACAATTGTGCAACTGTGATTATAGCACAGGATAATTATTAGGTCAAAAGGTAAAGGCATTTAAATTTTGAAAGATATATCCTAATAACTCTCTTAAATATAATCTGAAGGATTTGGATTAGCATAGATAACGTGTCAGTGTATATTTCTGAATTTCTTTGTGCAACTGTATTAAGGATAGCCATGGGATAAATTCCTAGAACTATAATAGCTGGGTCAGTGAACATACATTTAAAATTTGATAGACATTGCCACACTACTCTCCATAAAAACAAAAATGATGGACATATCATTAATTGTTGAATAATACTGGACCTTCAGCAAGCACTGAATCTTCACCATGACTAGGTACTATCAAACTCTGTAATCTTTTTAATCACAGTTGCTTTAATTTGTATTTATTATGAGTGTGACTAAGTATCGTTCAATGATTGTTGGTCACTCTAACTCTTTATCTCTGAGCTACTGTTACCATTTTTCATCAGGTTGTTAATCTCTTAAATATCTTTGCTTTAATGTGTTGCAAATATTTTCCTCATTTTTATCATTTATCTTCTGACTTTAATGTATACTTTTAAAAAATATTTTATATTAAATATTTTTCTTTATAGGGTCTGCATTTTTATTTTGCTTTCTAAATTTTAGACACTGTACTCACCAAGAATTAATCCCATGACAAAGGTTTTAAAGTGAACTGGGTCATAGATCCACACAAATACCTAGAAGAATCAAGAAACCACAATGTTTTAAGTTCTAAGGTCACATTAGAAAGTTAAGCTTAACTCTATATTTTAGATCCTCTACAAAAGTAACTTCCAACCTCTTAAGATATAAGAACTGCTTTTTAAGGTAAACAAATTCCAAAGACCTTTCCTTCAGTAGTAGTGTTTCTTCTGGTTAGCATTCAGCTGTTTAAAAAACTACAAATTTTGTAATGCACTTAAATAAATTTCTATGTAATTACATGCTTTTAACAATTTGTTCATGTGTGTAAGCCATTACTTATTCAACCTGAAGACTAGTAACTGCACAACCCTTTTGTCTTTAATGTAATGATGTACAGTGGCATGAGTAGAACCAGTCTGGGCTAAGAGCACAGTTAATTCCAGCCAGGCCCTAATACAGATCCAGCAGCTTTTAACTCCACCCTGTTCTCTCCCATTGATGAGATGCAAAGAATCATTATTAAAGATTATGCTTAGTGAACGTAAAGATTCTATGACTCCCTAAAATAATTTCATTGCTTACTTCTCCATGGAGGGTCTGTAACTCATAAGTTGGGAACCACTGCTTTAAAGCTTAATTTACTTTATACAACAGAAATTGACTTCATTCAGAACAATCAGAACTCTGTTAATTATCATCCATAAAATTCCTAGTTTTATCTTTTAGTTTCTATAAATAACAGTACTCTTCCATTTCTTGGTTCTATTTTGACCAGAACTCTTTGTTACTGTCTTTTTGATTTGGTTCGACTTCTAACATTGGGGATTCCATTCTTCTTTTCATCACTGTGCACATTTCCCCTTGGAAATCAGATCCTCAGACATCACTTCTGCCAATGAACAAGTTTTTAATGACAGTTCCCACCTTTAAAAGTTTGACAGCATGCGTCTTTTTGCAGAATAAAACTTAGCTTTTTCAGGAACATAAGCACCCATGGTTTTGCTCAGGCTGCTTCCTCTGCTTAATAGATCTATCTTTCCAGTGAATCTGGTAATCTGCCAGCCATCCTTCAAGGCTCAGCTCAAGTGTTCAGGATCTCCAGAACCTCATTAGCCTCTTGATTAAATGAACTATTCCCAACTGGTACTCTCACATCATGACACCACAAACACAGTACCATTTTTTAAAGTTTGCATGTTTTCGAGACTATAAGAGCTTCTAAGAAGAGAATTTTGTTATTTACCATGTTATTCCCAGCACCTATAAAAATGTCTTGGCATATAGCTAATGCATGGTATCTGAGCTTTCATTAGGAAAGGACTGTGGTCTTCAATTAAGTGGTTCCTAAGCATGAGTTCACATCAGAATCATCCTGTGACACGTTATATGACACACACATGTGCATGCACACACTAGAGATTCTCATGCAAGTATGTCTGGAATGAGCCTAGGGCATGTTTTCTGAAAAGCTTTCCCAGAATTTCAAACTGGTAGCTCCTGGAACTACTACTTTATATGTATTACTTTTGTATTAGGTATAGCAAGAAGAGATATATCTTGAAACTCACAATTCAATGGCCAGTATATAACTAATGTTTTTGTATTGGTTACATGACTAAATTAGGCAGTCTTCAATGAAAGGCTACCACCACATAAATCTCCCATTACCAAAAAAATCTGTTATCTCTTGAGTAAAGCATCAGGTAATCTTGAATTTTAGGCTCCTAAAGTAGTATGTCTGACTATAAGAGGCAGAATCTAGTATGTGTCCCCAATTAACCATCCTGCTTTTATTTTTTCTTTGATAGTAATGGAAATCCTGCATTTGGGCTGGGCAAATGACAACCTAGTATAAAAGCACAGTTCTAAGATTTTATTGCATGTGGGCATGACTACGTGACTAGGTTCTGGTGATGAAACCCAAGCAGAAATGAAACTACTGGAAGGTGTCCTTAAAGAGGAGGCATGTCCCTTACTCTCCCTCTTCTGGATGCAGACACAAGGTTGGGAGTCATTTACTAATTCCCTTACACAGGAGGGAGAGCTTGGATCCACCATGGAACTGCCATATCTGTATTCTTTACCTTCAGATTTTATTGATGAGAGAGAAATAAGCATCTATTTTGTTTTAATCTATTGTTACTTCAGGTTTCCTATCACTCATACACAGCTGAACCTAATTCCGACTGATTTTTATAAATCTAAATTCAGAGAAATTATTTCTTTTTAAAGAGATTTTATAGCTATGTGGTTAGATTTTTCTAAATTACTTCTTTTCTTAGTGAAGACAGTAAAGATAATTCTAAAAATGTTTACGGAAAATTGGATTTCTATTTATGGGCTAGGTATTCTTACCTCATTTCCATCTAGAAAAACTTGATCATCATGTGGCTCAAGCTTGAATTTTTTCTTAGTTTCCTTCTTTTTTGGAGTTCCTGGAGTTTCCTCCTATTAAAACACAAGTTGTATAGAAGGAAAAAAAAACACAAACAAGCAAAAAGCAGTATGACATTCAAATAGTCAAAAAAGTCTCACTATTTGAGACACAGAAATCAAAATTCTCAACCGTGGTACTTATAAGAACTCTAATATGGTTATCTTAAGTGGCTGCTGCATAATATTTCACAAGTGCTCATATGCCATTAGTAATCCCATACAATGATTTTGATTTTTACTTAATCTTAACTGAAATCACCTTTTTGGATTCTTCCTTTTCACCATCCTTTTTTTTTTCTTTTTCCTTTTTTGTCTTTTCATCCTTTAGATTTTCTTTCTTGCTCTTTTTATCTTCTTCTTTTCCACTTTCAGCTTTTCCTTTCTCTTTTTCTTTTTTTATGTCTTTATCATACTTCATTTTCATTACTTTTAGTGCCCGGTGAAAAAATTGTTTCTTTAAAAGCCTTTAGAAAAAAAGGTATGATATTACAATCTCTATCAATTATACATACTAAAAAGCAAAAACATAAAGACCTGAATAAAATGGGCAAAGACAGACATACACTGACAACTTACGAAAGAAATAACAATTAGTAAGCCCATGGAAAAACAGTCAACCCCACCTCTAATAAAATCTATACAGCCAATTTAATTATAAAAAGTTGCCAACCTAATTTCCTTTTTTAGATATGCGATTACGGATTTGGAATTATCCTTAGGAAACTTTTCTCTATGTTCATTAAGACTAATCAAGACTCTGCTTTACTTAATGTTAACTCTCAAATTCAAGAGCAGATATAAGGGGTTCAATAAATATAAGTTTAAGAAATGTTAACAGATTAAAGATATGCCCATGATTTGACTGATTCAAATCATATCTTCATGTCTTTATCCATGGTATTTTTCTTCTTCATGTACTTCACTACTCAGCCTGCCACTATAACGAAATATCTTCAATTAAGTAGTAAATAATTAAATATGCTAAGGTGAGATTTCCGGACTCTCATAGCATCAAACTGAAAACTGTACAATATAATTGGTAAAAAACACTATGTACTCCTTATTTCATTTATTTCTCTCAAAACATTGTTCTTCCCTCTCTTTAACAGTTATTTTTTACATTCCTACATCAGGGTTTTTTACGCTAGCTGTTCCCTTCACCTGGAATCCTCCTCCCCCAAATAAGCATGTCCTTTCAGTTCACTCCCTCGCTTCCTTCAAGTCTTCCCTCAAATGTTACCATCGCAATTAGGCCTACGCTATTTAAAATTATGAACCCACCCCAACCTCTCTCCAGTTTCCGATTATACTACCCATAACATTTATCTTCTGACTTGATATACAATTTGTTATGTCTGTTTGTCCCTTTCACTAGATTGTAAACTACTTAAAAGTGAGATCCCTGCTTTATTCATTTCTTTATCTGATGAGTTTAGAAGCTCAGCTGACTCCAAATTAAGTCAACCTTGGTGGTAGTTCCTTTCTAACTTTATACTACTACTCTAAAAGCTGGGTTGCCTTTATATTTGTTATCTAAAAGCCATCTTTTCAAATCTTATGTTCCAGTTTCAGAGTTCCTGATTTGTGTCTTCATTCCTGCCTTCATAAAGTACAACTCACTGCCACCATATGTGACTACCCACTTTTCTATCCCCACTGGTGTCTGCTCCAGCACATCATACCACGTGTTAATTCAATGACCACTTATTTCTGGTCATTATAGTGTGCCCTCTGGAGCACCTGTGTTTTTCCCTGCTTGGCTGGGCTTCTTTCTGCTGCCCAATTATTCCACCCCAGGAACATTTCCACAAAGCTAACTTCTTAGTCTCCTCATCTGACCTTCTACCTGTTCATAAGATCTATATAGCATACAATTGTCCAAGTGTCTGAAATGCCCTCAAAGACTCTACCATTGATATCTGCTACAGATATACATGTAAACAAACAAAAAATTGAAATGAGTCCCTTAATAATGAACTACTTATGAGTAGAAGTGAGATTTAAGAGTAGTGGTGGGTATATGAATATGAAGGGGGATTTAAAATTTTTACTCTACTTCAGAATATCTTACAAAAATTTATAATGAACATATCCTAATTTTCTTTATTTACTCTGGCACTTATGTGATTTCCAGATTTTTCTATAAGGAACATTTATTACCACTTACTGTGAAAACAAAAATACATCCTATTCATTATGTATTAATTGGAAACCAGCATTTCATATTATGGTTCATATTATAGACTTCCATATATTAAGAGTATATGTATACGCACATAGATACTTGAGTATATATTCTCAAATGGTAATGTGGTTATCTATGAGATAACATTATTAGTAATTTGAATTTTCCTCAGTATCATTTTGAGTGGAGAAAAATATTCTTAATAAAGTAATAAATAATTTAAAAAATAAAACATAAGACTTTAAGAGAAAAAAACCTTTCCCTTGGTGAGTATAGAAGGGCACAGAACCAGAAGGAATATCAGCTTCTGTCACCCTTCCTGCACAGCTGTCTCACCCTCATGAAAGAAAAGCAGACTATTAACCAAATTGGTATCAAAGAGTTCACTCAGGTATATGCATGCAAATACCACCTCTATCACTTATATAGTGGTTGGATAAGCTACTTAATTTTAGTTTATTTCTAAAATGTGGTATCTATCTCATAAGGATTTCTAGAACTAAATGAGAAGCATGTAGATTAATTAGCATGGTGCCTGACATATATGTACTCAAAGTTAGCCATTATTGCTATAGCAAAATACTGAATTTCATTTAATAGTTATGAAATAGACACACAAACACATTCGGTTTCATAAATCATTAATTATAGCATCATTCCATTCAGTAATAATACAAGTAGAATCACTGACTTATTTCTTGATAGGTCTTTAGAAAATGTCTACTTCAACTTACTCTATGCCTCAAAAAGTGAGATGACATTTGTATTATAATAATATCAATGCCTCCATTATATTAAATCACTTAGTATAAAGCTGACATTTTCACATAACTACTCATACTTCCCTTTCTTAGCATGTTCTGTGCCCTTTGCCAGGATTAAATGTCCTTTCTCCTATTGTTTGCTGTGTAATCGCCTATTATGTTTCAAAATTTTCCCTGTAAAGCCATTCTTGACATTTCCTCATTTCTGTCTTCCTTACAGAATACACTGTATTGTAATGAGTCATGAGTCTTCTTTAACAGACTAGAACAGGTGCTTTGGAGGCAGGAACCAAGTCACATTCATCTTTGTATTTCTGGGGCATGGCATAGAATAGGTATTTGATAAATATTTGTTGAAAAAACAAATGAATTAAAAGCAGCAAGTTATTAAATTGCTTCCCTCACCTCTTTTTATTTTTCAGGTTTAACAAACATGATACCAGACATGTGTTCAGGACTTTCACCTGTGTGACAATAGTGAGGTTGTATTAAATGCCCATATTGTACTGTGGAGTTACTTTAATAAAGTATAAAACGGTCTTACAAATGCCTTCAGATTTAGCTGCCAAGAAATAAAACAAACAAAAAAACTAACACATATGCAACACTTTTAAAATAGTTAAAGGCTAAACTATATGATACTAACTTTATACATTCTTAGAACCTTAGATAGAAAGATTAATGTGGGCTTGAGGGCCTGGGGAATACTGCATGGTAGAGATGGAACTTGAGGGATATTTATACTGAAAGGCAGGCAGGACAGAGGGACAACCATTTGGGGAAAGTGCCAGGTTATGAACAAATAAAGACCAGAAGGAAAATGACTGTGATATACGAACAAGAGTGAGAAGGGCTTTAATGGACTGGGAGGGTGGAGATGGAAAGTCATATGGAGAGTTAGAATGGTGCTAGATTAAATAGGCCATAAAGAGATATAGAATATATTAGAAAAGATTGTTTTGTGTATTATTCTACACTTTCCTGTTTTCTTTTTCCTCAGATTCCCTTAAGTCCACTTAGCAGCTTCGGAAAATGAGACCGGACAAGTTTCCTTTTGTGCTTCTGTATGTAGTCAAGCAGGAATCCATGAGGGCTGGCCATCGTGAGGCCTCCACGGTTAAAGTGGCTCTGAAGAATTTAGGTAGATCTACTTCTCAATTTTAGTGCAGAAAGGACACAAACCACCTGACGTGAATGGGAATAACATACACAATGAAAAGTAGTGTGTATCTAGGACAGTCTCTGTACTCGGGTCTTTTGGGCTTTCCATATAACAAGGTATCAAGGCTCCTAAAAGACCAAGAGATGTGGATTAATACTGGCTGCTCTCCTCAGAGTTGGGCTTACAGATTTAATATTCAAATAGTACTGGTTTCCCTGCTATCTGAAAGTATAGCATTCCTATGGAACTTTTTGTAAGGTGAAGTGGATTAAAGTGAAAAGTATCCCTCCCGCTTTCCAAAAATTCACTTTACATCACTTCTCTTTCAAGAAAGACCTGCATCAGTACCTGTTTTCACTAACCTAAATAAATCTGAAGAGAGTTTTTGCTTTTACAAAAGATTTACATTAGTACCTGTTTTCACTATCTGAAACAAATCTGAAGAGGATTTCTGGTTTTACAAAGCTTTTACCGTAATGTAAGTCTTTCACAAACTTTCAGAAAGCAGAGGATACCTGTACTGACAGGTGAATCCTTCATCTTAATTTCTGCTTTATTAAATGTATTATCATTTTGTTGGAAGAGAAAGTATAGCACACAGTGGTTAAGAGCATGGACGATGGAGCCAGACTGTTGGACTTAGAATTCTGGTTCTGAAACTGACTAGCTGTGTGACCTTGGGTAATTTACCTAACTTCTCTGTTTTAGCATTTATTGAGTATTTTAATTTTTACATCATATATAAAAAATAAATCTATTTTGAGGCAAGGCAGGCAGTTGCACTTTGGAGTTCTAAAAGCACAAATGGCTATAAAGGAAAATACCAACTATTAGCTCATCCCTGCCCCAACAAAGAACTTTTCATCATTTCTGAAAGGTCCATTAGTGACTCTAGTTTTCGGTGACTACAAACATTAAGAAATATTTAATAATTCTTTAACTTTATAGCTTTAGAAACAAGGTTGTGAAATAGTGGTTTTTAAGAAAGGTCTTGTGTGGCTGATACTTTAAATGCCATTAAACAACATATTAATAAATTGCTATATGTACCTTCCTACCGAACATAAAAAATACTCTAAAATGTCAAATTTCCACTGATTATAAACTATAGTGTCACATAAACAAAATCTGGTTATCAACATCTTAATAAATATGCTTATTTAAACCAAAGGAAAAAATGGAAAGAAAATCAGCATACTTATTTCCAAAAGGAAAGTGATTTTCGTGCATAAGTACCTATTATGAAAAACATGGATATATTACTAAACTGTCTATACTTCATCTTGGAGTCAAGAAAAGGCAGTTGTTGCAGCTGTCTTGATTTTACAAGGAATACATTAGCAATCACAAAATAGAGAAGGGTACCAGCTAACAGCTCAGTGTATAGGCACTGAATGAACAACAAACTCAGGAACAACAGATTTATTAGGAATCCCTGCCAAAGCCTGCCAAAGTTTTGGAAAAGACTCCCCAACCAGTTGCTTTAGAAGGCTTTTGTTTACTGTAGGTGCTGATATATGACTTTTATTGCTGACTCTTCAGTTTAGTCAGCTTGGCAAATGTACAAATGTAATAGACCAGGGGTCCCCAAACCCCCGACCCCTGGGGCCACAAAGCAGGTGGTGAGTGGCAGGCAAATGATCAAAGCTTCATTTGTATTTGCAACTGCTCCCCAGCGCTAGCATCACCACCTCAGCTCAATCCCAGATTATCAAGCATTAGATTCTCATAGGAGCACTGGTCCCTGGTACCAAAAAGGTTTGGGACCACTGTAACAGACCGTAAAAATTATAAAAATTCAATAGCCTAACACCAAATAAATGTATTTGCAGAAGTACTGAAGAGATCCAGTTTGCATGTTTTGTTTCAGCTGTGTTGTAATATTACTATATTTAACGATGAAAATGGGTAAGGAGCTTCAGGATTATGGAGAATATTACTAAATTACTAGTTAGTTATCCTTCACTAAGAAATAAACACTACCTGTTGCAGTAGTCAACCACAGACTCCCTTGTTGTAAATAAAGCTTCCTCTCCTTTCTTGGCCTTTGCCCATTTTGAATCCAAAAGGCAATCCACTGCTTTTGAAGCTAAAGAAGAAATTTATTATTTTAAATTTAGTATACAAGGAAATTTATATCAAAATAATATTTTATAAGGCAAATGTCAACATTCTGGCATCAGAAAATAAAACCAAGTTCAACAGAAAATTTAAGTCTGACATGATCACGATAAACAGTTCCTCAGAACCTCAGTTTGTGAAGCATATCGATAAGCATCTTTTTAAAGTAATTCTTGGAAATAAATGATATTCAAAAATACTAAAAAAAGCAAAATAAATTAATAGGGAAATGTTCTAAACAAAAATTCAAAGTAAATGTAACTATCACTCTTATCAATAATCATAATTAAATTAGGGTAAGTAAACCAAAAACCTTCCTCTCTCACAGTAATAGAAATTCTGTTATCATGCTTTACTATAACTCACCGAGGAATAAACTCTGAACAATCTACTGCTGTCACTAGAAGAAACTAAATACATTAGTTCTGATGTGAATAGCACATCTATTTTCAAAACTTTTAATGAATATCAAAATCATTAACCATGACACTTAAGAAAAGACAAAGCAATTTCTTCTTCTCTGTAATGTCAATTCAATCTTAATGGATCAGACAGGAAAACTCAACCACTATTTATAAGCTATGGGGATACACTACAGATGGCATTAGCTTATAATGAGGGTGTTTGAATTATGTGATGATCCAAAGTGCCTATATTGGTTCCAACAGACCTGTTTCACACTGAACTATACTCCAGAGTTATACAAAAAGATTACCTTTAAGTACATACACTATCTGAACAAAAGGTAGTACTAATACTGAAAATAAATCCTGTTTTAAAAATTTCCAACAAATGTTATTATAAAGCACTTTCTTTTATCTTTTTATTATTCATAATTTCAATAATAAAAGAAAATAATAGGATAAGTGATTGCCATATGCTCATCACTCAACTTCACCAATCACACTTGGAAAGCACTTTTAAAACGACATATCCCAAATTTAGGTATATTCGTAAGATATGTACACTAACATAATTTTACTGATATAATCCTACCAATAAAATAATCAACCCGGTGACCCATCATATTGGTGGACTTTGTTGGACAGTTGAATCGAAGATACTTGGCTACAGCCTTCTCTTCTTTAGATGGTTCACCAACTTCCTGCAAAGTAAGAATATTAATGTAATCATTTACTTGAGAAATTCACACGCTGAAGAAATTTAATTTACTGATCTGTTCTGCAAATCTTCTTAAGTGGAGTACAGGCCTTTCTTTCAGGCCTTCTCTGGAACAGACCTGGTGATGTATACAAATGATAGGATAGAGATTTTTTAAATTACATGCATTTTGAATACAAGTTGATAAAGCCAAAATCTGTCTGCCTCTTGCCCTCACCTACAAGGCATTTATTTTGAGTTATTTTTCCAGTATGGCAGCTACATTGTACCAGTTCACCTTCACTCTTGCCTGGTCTCTTTTCATAAGCTACAAAGCAATAACTGAACAGAGTAAGTGGTTGCTAGTAGTGAGTGCCCAAATGTCAAAGTAGAAACAGGTACTCTAAATAAATGTTAAATAATAGCAAAAGATATCTACCCTGAACAATGAACAACACACCATTGGAGCAGTTCTCAAATTAACCAAAGATAGTAGTCCTGGTGTAGTAGCCATAAGAACTATCTGAGGACTGAGATCCTGAAGATTTGTACTCCTTTCCCTTTTCCCTTGTGGTTGCAAATCCCGGATACTGTCTGGGACACTTTCTCACCTTGTGTTTCTTCCTTTCTTCCCTTGTAGGGGGTAAAGCAAAAATAAAAATGCAATAGACAGATAAATTACAATCTTATTTGAAGAACTATTTATGGAAGTGGACAAAGAGTTTTGGAAAGGCTGCTTTAATTCTTCCCTCTTTTCTTTCTTCCATTTCTTTCTCCAAATTTCCTATTACTTTCTTCATTGTTTATCATTCCCCATCTTCCTTTCATTTTCTTACATTCTGAACTACTTCTTTAATTTGACAATTCCTCCTGTGTACTTATTGTCTCAAACAATATACTGAAGAAAATGAAGGCAGTCTACGTTTGTATATATTTTATATGTACAAAGTATATCTACTTTTAGAAGTTGTCTTATTGCTGTAAGCTATTGAAACAAAAGTACTGTCTTTAATTACATGTTTAAGCATGATGCATGGAGCATTCAAGCAATATTTCCAGGAATATGGAATCTAGATGTGATTGATTTCAGGAAAGTCTGTTTCTGAAATGAATAAAAGTTAAACAATAGTAAAGAATTATCTGCCAAGACTCTAGAATGCTGAGATCAATCAATGTGAGATAGTTATGTTTCAGGCAAGACATTCTACCAATATGAAATAGAAAAAATAAACTATCTAAATTATCTGTCTTTAAGTCAGTTTTCTCACAAATTCAGGTAAGACTGAATTTATCTATGTTTGATGAAACTAAGGAACAATCAACAAACCAAGGTTTTAGCTTTAATTTTATCCTAAAAAGGAGTAATGAAGTAAAAGCTTGTCCTTTGGTTGCTGAGTCACCTGGTGGCTATTTCTCATATTTCTTCCTTTGCATTTCCCAACTCCTCTACTTCCAGTACCCAAATGACATGTAAGATTCTTATATTCTGCTACTACCCCATTTGTGGATTATTTGTGTTAATAAAATTTAAAAGCCCAAGTCATTCAATGCAAATAAAGACTATAGTAAAAGCCAGGTATTTATGTGAATAAAAACCCTTTGGTTTTAGATATAAAAATATGTACCACAGAAAAAAAAATCTTAAAATACTGTGAATTCAAAATATAACATTCTAAGTTTACTAACATCTAGAAGGCTCATAATGATTTAATTTGGAGCCTAGTCACAAAACATATTTCTGACATGCTAAAGGTGAAAATTCTATATTTCAATTTTTGAAATCACACTAAAATATATTAATGTGCTAGTTTCATATGTTAAATGTTAGTATTTAATTATGCTTGTGTAAGACAGTGCATTTCCAGGAGCCTCTTCTATTAGTAAATAATATCCTACATAGTGTGGTAAAGCCAAAAAATACTATAAATAGTGGAAAATAATGAGATACTAAAATTGGCTTATAGAAACAAATTCTATTTTATAATCATATCCATATATGCTCATTTTATCTCTCATTTGATACATTTGTTGTTAATTTAAAGGTATGTCTAATTAACTGATAACTTGTTACTGGGCTATGCTTGATTAGAAACAATTGTGCTTCTTATTGAGAAGGCTCAATAAGCATAAATCATTCCAATACATACTTACTGTTTACCCTATATCTTTGAGTGCTACAGTTAATATCAAAAATTTGTGAGGCATGGTACCTATTACCCCAAACAGCAACTGTTACTTTCCAAAACCAATGGTAGAAAAAATATTTTAGGAGTACACAAAGAAGTAGGATTATTAATGTGGATGAGAACAGCTATGAAAGACCTCTTGGAAGAAGGAACTGGATTTTGAAGAGGTACAAGTTTGGGTAAATTGAATGGACAGCATAAACATTGTGGCTGAGAATGAGCATAAAATTTGGTTCCAGCAGACAAGTTAGGAAGCATTGTGAGGTTAAGTATGTATAAGTAGAATAGGGCTAAAGAGTCTTCAAGGCAGTCTGAGGTATTTCCACTTTATCCTGTAAGTAGCAGAAAGACCATTAGTGGTTTTTGAACAGAAGGACATAATTAGAAAACACGACAGACATATTATTTTGGTGGCTGTGTATAGCATGAATTGGGAAAAAAAATGCATAAGGCAGGGGAACTAGTTAGTATTCAAGTAAGATATGACGTGATACTGGACTAGGAATGGAAAGGATTGTGGCTATTTCAAATATTTCGCATGTAGAACAGATAGGATTGAATGATAAAGGATGAATGAAATGGCTGAGTAAAAGATGTCAGATCTCTAATTTGACCAACTGAAAGGATGGATAGTTTTTCAATAACAGGAATTTGGAAAGAACAAATCATATAAACTTTAGGCATGACAAGTCTACACTCATGCTAACACTCAATTAAACCGCTAACACTCAATTAAACCACTTACTTGAACACAGGCATAAGACAAGCATTCTGATTGCTGACAGAAGCATCACATGTAAAATATGATACTAGGCTACGCAAGAAACTGAAAAGTCCATTCTATTATTACATATAGGGAATCTGACAACATTTTAAAACTTCATTTTAACAAATAAGTTGTATAAGTAGAATAGGGCTAAAGAGTCTTCAAGGCAGTCTGTGGTATTTCCACTTTATCCTGTAAGTAGCAGAAAGACCATTAGTGGTTTTTGAACAGAAGGACATAATTAGAAAACACGACAGACATATTATTTTGGTGGCTGTGTATAGCATGAGTTGGGAAAAAAAATGCATAAGGCAGGGGAACTAGTTAGTATTCAAGTAAGATATGACGTGATACTGGACTAGGAATGGAAAGGATTGTGACTATTTCAAATATTTCGCATGTAGAACAGATAGGATTGAATGATAAAGGATGAATGAAATGGCTGAGTAAAAGATGTCAGATCTCTAATTTGACCAACTGAAAGGATGGATAGTTTTTCAATAACAGGAATTTGGAAAGAAGGTGATTCTGAGGGAAAAAACAATCATATAAACTTTAGGCATGACAAGTCTACACTCATGCTAACACTCAATTAAACCACTTACTTGAACACAGGCATAAATGCATTAATCTGATTGCTGACAGAAGCATCACATGTAAAATATGATACTAGGCTACGCAAGAAACTGAAAAGTCCATTCTATTATTACATATAGGGAATCTGACAACATTTTAAAACTTCATTTTAACAAATAAGTTAACTAAACTCATTTCTATACTGCAAAACAGACTCAATTACAGCTGACCCTTGAACAATGCAGGGTTAGGGGTGCCAATTTCCTGCACAATTGAAAATCCATGTATAACTTTTGACTCACCCCCAAATTTAATTACAGTTGTCCCTCAGTATCCATGGATTGGTTCCAGGACCCCCAATGGATACCAAAATCCTCAGATGCTCAAGTCTCTTACATAAAATGGCATACATCAATGCATACAGTTGAAACCACAGGTCCATTGGTTGAATCTGCAGACGCAAAACCCGGGGATACCAAGTGCTAACTGTATACTTACAGAAAAAAATTTGTGTATAAATGGACTCACAGAGTTCAAATCTGTGTAGTTCAAGAGTCAACTATAATCTATTTTTATTCCTTTCCCCTCCTTGGTAAAGGCATTAATAAGCAACAATGAACAGAACAGACTCAGAAAACAAGGACTTAGATAATCTCTCTTAACTAGACACAGAGTTACCTGTCCTTTGATACTTTCTTAAAGTTATCAGTATCTTCCCTTGAAAGTATGACTGGAAAAGTAGTGAATTCTATCAGGACAATGATACCTTCCTTGCTCCTTCTTGAAATTCAAATCTTTTAAAAGTTTTTATTTACCTTTGTGAAATATTATAAATGTTCACTATACCACATATAAGTTATACATGTTGTAGGCTGTCTTTAATGAAAAGTACAGAATTTGTGCTATCTGCTGAGGCTTTACAGCCAGAAAGCCAAGACAACATGACCATGGGAAGTTGGTTATATAGAAGATCCTGCCACAGACTCCTCACCATCACTGCTCCCCTGCTGCGCTCTCCCTTGAAGAGTATAAAAGTCTTACCCTCTTCTTGTTTATACATTAGACTATAGTATCTCCCCTCTTTTGTTCTTTTTGATGTGAACAAATCTTCAGAATATTTTCATAACTTTTCTAGAAACCTCCTAACAAAAAGTGAAGGACTTTTGGGAATAGCAAGACCCACTGATAAAGAGAAATCAGCTCATTCACCCTCAAATGAAGAGAACTTTATATAGCTCAATGAATGAACTCAAATGCTTAGAAAGAGGAAGCTAAGAACCAATATTGAGGCTAGACTGCCATCTTTGCATCCAAATACGAAAGATGCTGGCTCCTGTAACTCACAGCCCAAGATTATATAAATTGAAAGTTTAGTTAGAACACTCTTTTAAAATTATTTAACAAATACGATTTTTACTTTAGAATACACCAACGCTTAAATACTGTAATAAAATAGGAATTATCATTTCTAACTATATATTATTTTAGCCAGTACCTTTTTGAGAAAAAATTATTAGATCAAGAGTCAGTAAGCCACAGGCTTCATTTAATCTTACAGAATTTTTGATTTAGAAGAATTTTTTTAATTGCTACATTCAATAGAAATAAGCTTTGATTTATTTGATTTGTTGAGTAAATTGAACAAAAAAGAAAAAGGTTAGTTCACAAACTGAATTTGTATCTTCATACAAGCAGTATAAAATATTTGTGAAAATGCAAATAGTTAACAGAATAAAACCTGAAAGCCGTAAGGAACCTTAGATATATCATTTGCTTAAAGTCACACAGCACATTAATAAAGTTTTACAAGAGTTTCTACATCTTAACTCTGACAGTACCCTTCTGTGATATCCCCCTGCTTTATTCCTATTGCAAGCCCTGCCCTGCCCTGCCCTGCCCTGCCCTGCCCTGCCCTGCCCTAGGAGTGGGGAGTTTTCACTTGGGACTAGCTTTTGGGTTCTTTCTCTTTTCTTCAGAAAGTCCCAGAGAGTCAGACTGTAAAGTCCTAAACTTTCTCTTTTCTGAAGTTGAGCATATAGGCCTATGATATGTCAGGATTTCAATGCCAGGAGGACAGATGGGTACAACAAAATTAACTGAGATGAAAGTTATAGAAGTTCTAAGAATTCATAAGCCATTTAATGTCTCAAAACTCAACTAGATACCTTACATAAGCAGAATACTGAATGGGATGATGCTCTCTTTAGCAGGGACAAGTCATGTTAAGTCTTTACGTTATACAATATAAAGACTTCAGGATTAAAGTATTTCAGAACAATTTATTTTTATGTTATCAATGGTGAGGTGGAAAAAAACATTTAGCTGGGAATTAAAACACTTGGTTTAAATCTGGTTTTACTATCCTGATGAATAATCCTGGGTCAATGCATATAAATAACCTCACTAAACCTCAGTTCATCTGAAAAATGAGGGTGATGGTTTTTACAGCAATGTTTTATACTTAGTAATACTTTTTTACCAAGGTCCTAAAGGTAGTTTAAAGAACTATGAGGTATGGGGATGTGATGGTAGTGGGGTGCCAAAGTAACAAGACTTTGGACCCACCACTCTGCTTTTATATAAGACCTGCATTTGTGTGAAAGGATTCCAAACAAACTTTACTATTTGAAAATCCTTTCAACTCTAAAATTTCATGATACTAGGATTTTAAATCAACCTTTCTAGTAAGCAGCACCTTGTTAATCTATAAGCACTTACTACACATTCTTAAAAACTTACATAATTGCATTTCTTAAATTATTTTTGAATGTTTCATTAATTTAGATTGAAATCACTCTCATTTGAGAATCTTGATCATTAAAATTTCCCAATATGATGTCAATGAACATGTAGCTCACTTCTGGTTTGCAGTGACCAGTAAAGTGAGTCCAAGAAGGAAATGTGACAAAATAGTCCTCTTGCTTCCAACTTTGATGGGACATCAGAATCTGAAATTATGCTATACTAGAAAAAGCAAATGAGTTAGCTACTTTCTTAAACCCTGAACTTGTCTATATCAATCACTTCCCCCAAGGTACAAATTATAATTCAAGGTCACTCAATCCATTAAACATAAAAATCTTTCCTGAACAGAAAACATCAAGTAACAAACAACAGGAAACTCAGTTGATACTACAGACCTTTTTGGCCAAAAGTCTTACAACAGAATCTTTTCTGTAACTGAAACTCTACACTTTATCATCACATTTGATCTTTTTGTCTAAAGTGATGCCAATATTATAGAGTTTCTGAGTCTCTGGATGGGGGACAAGGAATTGTATAAGCTATTGTATATTTTTATTAATTTGTTAAAATAGCATAGTAGTACTCCAAGTAGCACTCCCAAGAGCTTCACAGCATTCTAGCACAACTATGTAGAAAACTTTGAGGATGGGAAAATAAATGTTATTTAGTTTGATTTAGCAGTACGCCAAGCTGATTTTCAACAATCAGATCCTCACATACTTTTCTGATCTTCAAATAAACAAAAGTTAAGTAAATAAGCTATATTTTATGGAACTCACAACATAATAGTTTATTTACTGAATAGACAGCTGTTAATCTTTCTTCAGCATATCAGAATGCTTAACGAAAAACAAAACAAATCATCGTAAATCCTTCATCCTTGGGGAGGGGGAAAAAGGAGTCAAATGCCAAGCACCCTTTTAATGCATTTTTTCGCAACAACCCTACAATCCTATGAGGTTCCTTTTTATTTTTTTTAAAGGTAAATATTCCTTTTTTACAGATTTAGAAATTGAGGTAAAAAGTTAAGTAACTTGCCCAAAGTTACACAGTTAACAGTGAAACAAGTACAAACAGGCAGTCTGGCTCAAGTTTTAGCTCCCAGCCACCACCACTACTATAAAGCTTCTTAATCTACTTTTCCATTTAATATAAAATCACAATTGAAATAGAGCAGCTATTCAAAAAGTGAATTAGGATCACCTTTACAACAATATTAAATAACAGCTGGAATGGTAAAAAGTGTTCGTTTAAAACGCATAAGTGTAATGTATACGTAAATATAAGGAGTCCAGTAAGTAATATTTGACAAATTCAATACAAATTCTAATGAAAGTCTTATATATTATTTATACCTGACCAATAATACTAAATTTTGAAAGACTAAGAATAGTATAATTAGAAATTTCTTCCGTAATAACCTTAAGTCTTGGTTTTATGGCCTGTCTGAACTCAAGGAAATGTCTCTTTATGATCCTGTTCTGCATGCTGTTCCAAACTACTTTACATTTGCCCAATTCCAAAAATCCAAATTTACTGGCATCTTTTTTCCTAGGATTTCAAAGTTTTCTGGAGAATTTTAACTTGCCTAGCTCAAACCATCTGTGGTGTAAACTGATTAAGTGATAGACTTTTTTTTTAATGGAGGAATAAAACATAAGACAGTCATTCTAAACAATGAAATATAAGGAACAAAAAGACAATAATGACTGTAACAATTTCTGATTAGTATGTTAACAATTTACAACATGCTATCAATTTATGATGACATACGAAGGTTTCTAGGAACATGAGCTGATGAGAAACGGACATCCTGAGCCTAAGATGTTCCACATATTTAATCCTCTTGGTAAAGAGCAATAACAACAAGGGGAAAATTGCAGGGATAAAATGCACAGATGACACGCATATGGAATGAGGGAGGGATGTTATGTAGGTTATGAGGATGACACACAGGGAAAGGTTTCTGGGCGCGACCAGCTCGTTGCAGTATGAACCGAGCTGTGTTTATTTTACACTGTGTCGCCTGAAAGAAAGCCGAGAGCTTCAACTGGACTATTAACTTAATAACATGGAGAAGAAAGCAGGGTACACGCAACTGAACAAATGGATAGGCAGATCGCCGCCTGGGCCCCCAAGCCAGCTGACCAAACCTATATTACTCGCCCTTTTACGGTCCTTCTGTTGCGCACAGATTGCCGGCTGCTTTAGATCAGTCCTCCTCCTTCTACCCTAATTACTATGGCCTTAATTTTGAGGGAGCTAAGGCAAGAGGATGGGGTGAAGAAGAGAAACGAGCTTGGAGAGGGTCAGCGTCAGCGCTGGGAGGAGGCTGGGCACCCAGCGCAGGACCGGGCCGGCGCAGCCACAGGAACCCTACGCTGCCGATTCCCAGCGCGGCGCCTCCTGCTTTCCGCCGCTGTCCCAGCACCTCGGCCACAGTCTCCGCCGTCGCCACCACCGCCCTCTCTCAGGCCCCTGCACAACGACGCAGCCCGCAGCCGGCGACCTCGCGACGGAACCCCACCCCACCTCGCCGTCGGTTTCGCTCGCCCTTCCTGAGGGCTTTCCCCACTTCTTTCACTTCCGAGCGCCCTGAAGCCTGTACCCCAGGACTCGACTTGGCTACCTGAATCCGCTTCTTGTGTCGCCTGCGTTCCGCCATGTTGGCCGCTCCGCCCGGTTTCCTTTGACGTGGAGCGAGGAGGGGGAGGTGGAAACCTCGCGAGAGCGCTCCGCGGGGGCCCGTTATGTAACCCGCCGGCTGGCACCCTGCTAGTGGGGAGGAGGGCGAGAGGCTGGTACCCTGGGCCCCGCGGGCCTTGGCGGCGCCTGTTCCCTCTTCCCCACTCCTGCCTCGGCTCTTTTTGTTGCGGGAACTGGAAATCGCTGGGACCAGAAGGAAGTTGAGAGGTGGACCAGACAACCGGAAGGTTGGAAACAGTCCTTGGTTGTCAAACCTGACTGAGCATCTGAATCACCTGAGAAGCTACTAAAATACAGATTCCCGGGCCCCACCCCCTCCCGAGTCAGTATGTTTGGCGTGGAGCCTTTCACAGAGCGATTTACCAAGAGCTACGGGATTCCTAAATATCTGTCACTGTGGCCCTGCCCCGCATATGCCCCAGGTGTAAATTCTACAAATCCCATTTTAAAGATGGGAAAATCCGGCGGCAGCGATAGGAACTGATTTATCTAATGCTCCGTGTCTGGTAGATGGCTGAGTCCAGACCTAAGCCAATTATCTTTTTCCATACAATATGCGGAGTGGTAGGGCTCATCTGAAACAAACTTTGGATTTTCTATTTCATTTTCCATTTTGCTTCTGAAAACTTACCTTTTGAATCCAGGAGTTAGAACCCAGGGAATTACAAGTAAGAAAGAGACTAAGTAGTTAAGAATGAAGAAGACTGCAGGGTAGTTTATGTCTGGTGACTTAGAACTATTGTTATTTGAGAGTCACCTAGACCAAAGAGAATGGGTTTAACATGCTAGTAAGTGTTTAGATACAAGTTCTATGACTTTACAGAGATTTCAAAGCATTTTTAATTGTAGAAAATTGGGAAAATACAGAAAAGTAAGATCAAGAAAATAAAAATACCTAATTCTACTGCCCAGACATCTGTTATCATTTTAATTTTCCTTTAGTATTTATTCCTACTTTGTTTATTTGTATTTACATATTTTCCCCTTCCCTCAAATTTGCAATCATACTGTACATGTAATATGGTAACTTTTTTTCACTTAATGTTGCAAGCATTATATCATTACATCGTCAAGTTTCTCATATATGTAATCTAATAAAAACTGAATGTGTAATTAGGGCAAATCATGGGATCTTAATGCCTAATCTTTTATAAAGTAAGTAGCTGAAGTTCATTTTTGAACCATGCAATTCTGCATTCAGGGGACATGATCAGCAAGCCAGTTCCCTTCCCCTCTATAATCTACAATTGGTGTGTGAGGTCAGGGAGGGTGGTGAGAAATAAGTTATGATTCTTACCAATTAACCCCAAACATAACATAGAATATGAAATTTCTTTTTTTCCTTCAGTCCCTCTCCCCAACCAAAATGATGGATCTGTTTTGTACTGTTTTATTTGGAGAACACTGGATTCTTTACTTAGGAGAGCTGGTTTATAAATGAAAAAGTTGCATTTTATTGAGTCCTTACCAGATGCAAAATGCTGGGCTCGGACTATAATGAGGAGCAAAAATCCTTTGTGGACAATGACTCCTCAAGCTACTGCCTTACCTCCTTTGCCTTCTTCAGAAAATCCTTAATTTTCTATCCCCATGTCCTCACTGACACTCACTTCTTAGACTACAACCATTTGGTTTCTACCTCCACCATCCATAATAATCCACGCCAAATCCAATGACTTCTTTTTAATTAACATCTTAATAAGCATTTGACAATATTGACCATTCACTTCTTGACTTATTCTTTTTCCTTGGCATTTATGATATCAGATTCTTCCTTCTACTTTCTCTTTGGCTCCCCTCTCTTTACCAGCTCTTAAATGTTCCTGGCTACCATGCTTCCATGCTTCCAAGCTCAGCTTCTTCCCTTCTCCTTTCTCTATGCATTCTGGAGATTCTTATACATGTTAATAACACAATTCCAAAATACTGCATAAATGTTTATTTCCAGTTGTCTTCTGAATATCTCCTGAATATCCAACTAGAAATCACCATTTCCCCCATGAAACCTGCCCTATTTACCGTATTTTTAAACTTATAACTGCATCACTGTTCACTCTGTTACTCATGATTAGAAACTTTGGAAGTATCTCAGTCATGCCTCTCTGCCAGTTAGTCATCAATTCTATTGATTCTATAACTGAGATGTTTGAAATTCTTCCCTTCCTCATTCCTACTACCATTGCTTTGATCAGGTCTTTATCATTACCTACGTGAACTATCATTGCAAGAGCCTCCAATCATTCTCCCCAACTCTACCTTCTCTACACTCTAGACCGCCTTCCATTCCTTTGTTTAACCACTGTTCTCACCCACCAATACTCCCCACTTGTGTACTGCAGCATGAAGCATGGCTAATGTTTTCACCTAAGTGTAAAATTTCAGGATCTTTCTTCCATGTAATATTTATATTAAAATAGTTCAAACACTCTACCTGGCATCCCATTTATATATGATGATAGTGGGGAGTTTTGATAGCCACCTCTTGCTCTGATTTCCCTTTGAATTTGCAATCTCACTCCTATCATTTGACTTTTATTTCTTTCCCAAATGAGGAGCAATGCCTCTCTTCCTTTCTTTTGTCAAAGCAAAACTTCTCTCTACCTCTGGGCTCTGTCACCTTTTCTCTCTAGGACTGCCTCTGAAACTCAGAATTGCTGTACAGTAGAGAAATGGAGGTCTTCATTCTTTATGGATTCCCTTAGGCATGTATATGTAAAATCTCTTTAACATGCTTTGTTAAACAAAGGGTTCTCCAATCTGAATCCTCTCTCTGGGGGACTGATGAATAGGTGAGGACTTGATGTAAAAAATTCAGTTTCCTGGGGCCTACTGTCCCAGTAAATGGAAGAGAATAGTATACAGAAATGTATTTCCATTTATCAGACTTATGTAAAATGGAGACGGATACATTCAGTTTTCTGTTTTAATAACACTTTGTCTGGATCCATTTTATATGTTAAACATATATGGGTGACTAAATTGAAAACAAAAAAGTTATAGGGAAGTATAGCAAATGATAGCCAGGCCTTTTCTGGGCATGGTTTTCATACTAGCATTTTAAAATATGTGAGTTAATAACATCAGTGACTTTATGCTGTTATCACAAAGAAAAATGAATTTAATATAAATATAATTAGTATAAAATAAAATGCAATAAGCCTAACTTCATTTGAAAATTGATTTAATATTTTAAAACGAGTTAATTCTTTAGACTTCCACTTAAGAAATAGCATAAAGACAATGAGTATGTATCATTGAAAAATAAGCATACATATTTTGTTTTGACAAAGTATAATACATAAATTTTAACATGTTAATATTAGAACATATTTAAAAGTCACTTTGTCTTTTTAACTGAAATGGTAATTGTTTTGTCATTTCAAACAGAAACAGTAGTATCATCTTAATTCACATATGGGATACTCATGATCTCCTTATCTTTGCTCTATTAATTAGGGTTTAGTGCAAAAAAGAGAAACAAATCTAGGTGTTTTAATAAAGAGGGAACTTAATTAGGGAAATTAGATGTTTCCAATATTGTTGAAAGATTGGAGGAGCAAGCTTAAGTGTGGACCTGTGTGAATGACTGTCAGAACCCTGTAGAACCGACCAGTCAGGGATATTGCTACCTTTGGTGAGTTAAGAGTCCACAATAGCAACACTGAGTTCAAGAAACTACTAGGAAAGCTGTGATCCAGCTGTCAGAAAGCTAAGATCAGAAGTTGTTGCCAGCCCTGCTACAATTGCCTCTTATCTTGATACTACAATCAAGACTGTGTCTCCATGACCTTGCTTGCTAGCAGAATAAAAGCCAGCAGCAACAAGAAGATAGCCTCATCATCACTTTTGTTCTCCTGATGTCCTACCAGTGCATTGAATTAAAACCAGAACTTCAGTTGCAAGGGAGTCTGAGAAATGAAGACTTTAGCTTTCCATCCTCTATTATATGCCACTTGACCATATAGAATCATATCTTCTTCTTTAGAATCACCTGGTTCATGCCTACCTTTCTTGCTTCATCTTTAGCACTATGAGACCATACTTATCCCCCTCTCCCCCATCCCTCCACATGCACTTTCACACTCACATATTTCCTATTTTTTTCTTCCCCTTCCCACTTGGCATATCCTTCAAGGGTCAGGTAACATGTCACATCTGCAATGAAAATTTCCCTGAATTCTGTCTTCAGTAGACTGTTCTTTTTTCTGGGTTCCTACAACATTTTGTACAATCATGGCTATAGTATATATAATTTACATTGTAACATGATGTTTTTCTTTCTACCAGACTGTGACTCTTTCAAGGTCAGTTACATGTCTTATTCTACTGTTCTCAATATCTGGCTCAGAGTGCATGGATGTTAATGGAAGGAATAATGAGTGACGACAATGACATGGTCCTTATCCTCTGGAGTTTAGTGAATGAGAGAATATACTTATAAGGCAGACAAATTGTTAGGATGTCTTCATTAGATCCCAAGGTCCCTATTGTCTATAAAGTTCTCTATGGAAGTTAAAGGAAACCAATTTAATAAGAGGCTTCCCTAGATTTGGTTGAGGAAGCACTTTCTTGTGCAAAAAGAGAGACTCTAGCTATCAGTGTTGTCTTTCCTGAGAGTAGAGACACGTGAGGATCCACCCTCTCAACCTACTGCTAACCTAGCAAAGCCACATTAAAAACTTCAGGACAAGGAAAGGCAGCTAAACCTCACAGGTTATTAATATACCTAGAACTTGTTTTCTGTGCAAATCTTACATCTATGAAGATGGAAAGAGAAAAGAAGGATGACAAGAGTAAAGAACAGGGCTCCATTGTCACAGAATTCACAGAACCGAAGTCAAGAGGACCAAGAAAATCAGGCCTTCCAGACCTGGACCTTGCGTGGAGATGATGGGGAGAAAACTCTTGGTACTTTTTCTTCTTATATTGGCCTCGGATAATTTTCAGACAGCTCTTCTCAAAGTAAAAAGAACAACAGGCCAGTATATCTTATGGAGTAGATATTTTAACTTTTAGGTAATTATCTAAATAATTTGGTGGAGGCTGTGGTAATTATGGATCTACCAACAAATTAAAGCTACT